AAATCATTAAATCTTTTTAAATCTATAAAGAAAATCTTACAACTAAATTATTCATAGCCACATCAAAAAAAATCTACAGTTTTAATATTATAGCAAAAATTATAAAGTTACATCTCAGTTCAATGAACCAAAGTATAATGCCATGGAATTATTGTTTAGAGTAAATACTACAGATTCGTTGGAATCCCCTATATATTATTTGGGGATCATTTAAAAAGTTGTAACCTTAATTTTGTATTAATTAAAAATAATTCTAATCCTATGTGGCATATTTTTTTGCATTCTAAATTCTATTTAACACAATTCTAAAACATCTTACATATACCATAGTTTAAACATATATATACTAGAAAGATGTTGGTCACATATATTATATCTATTATATTAAAAGAGAAGTCATGACTTACTTCATGTGTGATTTTTAAATTTGAACAATCCTTAGAAATTTTATAAAATTTTACATAACATCATTATAATATCTTTTCATATCTTTAATTTTTATTTGAAATACAAATAAATAATTGTAAGAAAATTCTAACAAAATCTTTTAAAAATCTTATAGAATCTTTTCAAGATATAGTTTCAAAAATGATTTGATTAAAAATATAATAATCATAGAATATAACTAAAATTTTAATTCATTTTTAATTTATAAACAAAAATTTAATATTATGTAATATACTTTTAAAAATATCCCAAAATTTTGTTTATGTATTATGTAGGTCTAATTTAATTTACTTTTTATATATATTTAAAATTTAGAAATAAAAAAATTCATAAATTAGTAATGTTATATAATAATGTTTTTATAAATTGTTACAGAAAATACATTTATAAATTTAAAATTAATAATATTATAAGCCACATAAATATTATTATAAAATTGGATAGTATTTACAATTAAATTATATTTATTTATTGATAAATTTTTCTCCATCCGTTTCTTAATATATGATGTTTTGGATCATTGCACAAAGATTAAAAAATTTACATTTTTTTACAAAAGTATTTTTAAAGATATAATTTTATAATTATTCAACCAAATATTAAGAAAAAAAATTTATCGGTTGAACAGTTTCCAATAAAGTTAAAGATAATTTTAAAACCTCAAAATATACCTTAAAATCTCAAAACATCTTCTGTTTTGAAATATAATAAATCTTTTAAAACATCATCTATCTAAAAGGGAGTGAATATTATATAGTTTCAAATATTTTCGTATTAAAATACCCGCACGGTTGTGCGGGTCGAGATCTAGTACTCTATTAAAATAGAGTCATTCTTTTTATCTACTGATACAAGTTGTCATTTAAATTTGGACTCTTTCTAGAACGTTACAAATAATATAAGTCATATAATTGATTGAACCGTATTACTTAAATTAAACCAACAAAATTAATGTAAAAAGACGACTTTAATGTAAACTACCTTCACAATACGGCAGATATCTATGTGTATACCAAAAACACATATTTTCTCCTAAAAATATGGAATGTTCTAAAAGAATATATATCATCAAAATATGGAATATGGAAATCTACTAATTATACTTAAATTAAACCAATGGTTATTTATGAAATATAGTTTTGGGCTTACTTTTATTTTTTGAACAAATTATATAGTTTGGTTTTTGGGCTTAGTATTAAGAAAAAAAGTCCAAAACATTGAATAAACTTTTCACCTTAAAAGATCAAAAAATCAATTATTATTTTCAGACCCAAAAGGTATTTAATATTTTTAACTAAACAAAATTATCCATTATTAATCATTTATTTAAATCATGTACTTTTAAAACATGTTAATATATTTTTTATTTTGAATCAATCACTTTGTTTTGATAAATTTCAATGGTGACTTTTAAATAATTTATTGTTTTATTTTTCTTAAATAATTTACTGATTAAGAAAATGTAAAGCAAAACCAAAAACCAAATCTAAAAACTAAAATCCAAAACCAAAAGCTGAAAACACATATTATATTTTTTTGCTTTTTTTATTTATAAAATAAACTATTTCAATTTTTTAAAAAAAAATTGTTTTCATCTTTTCAGTTTTAAATTAGATGTTTGATTATTTGAGATTTGTTTGTTGGTAATATTTGTTCAAACTAACTCAGCGGGTTTAAAAATTAAAAACCCAAACCAAAAAATGAAAAATGAAAAGTAGAAACTTAAAAACTAAAAACCAAAATCCAAAATCTAAAAATAAAAAACTGAAACTAAAAACTAATGAAAAACAATCATCACCACAAATTTTGGTGAACTGATTTTATATCAAAATATTATTTAAATTATGACAAAATCCAATTATATAAATTTTTAATCATAAAAAATTTCCGCGCGGTCAAAATCTAGTTAATATTAAAATTTTATTATTCTTTCTTTCCTTAAATAAAAGCTATGAAATTACCTAATGTGATTAAAAGATATATGAAAATTAATAATTTCCGTAATAAATATTTGCTACCAATTTTTATACCCTCTACCATATTTGTTTAAATATTTTTTATTAAAATAATTTATACAATTACATTATTTATATAATGAAAAATTATATTTTTCGTACATATTGTATTTTGATTTTTTTTTAAAACAGGTATAAATTACTAAATTGTTAAATATTTCAAATAATTTTTTTGTGCTCAATAATTTAAATTTTTATTATAATAAGATACAAATAATTATAAATTACATGAGTAACACGTCTTATTTAATATATTTATATTAATAAATATTTATGTATATAATTTAAATTAAATTACTTACCATATAAAATACATACTTATATTTTGATATTTTCATTGAAAAATATTGAGAATCTAATATTTTAATTTTAAAATTTGCATTCAATTTTTAATAGTTCAAAATTTTGTTATAAAAAATCTATTGGTAATATAAAACCTTATATTGATAAAATTCATTTACTAAACATACATATTTAAAATATATTATAGAAACTGATACAAATAGTAATTAAATAAAATAATTCATATATAATGATAATAAAATATTTCAAAATAAAAAAAAAAATTACATTAATATCTAATAGAAAACAAATTCATGCAAATCACGGATCAACTACTAGAGAAAAAATTAACTATTTATAGAACAAACAAATTTAAATAACTAAAAATATAAATATAAATGTATAAAATAGAGAAAATAAATGATTTATGTATTGGATTTAAATAATTGAGGAATATTTTTCTTATTTTATTTAAAACATAACAAAAAAATAATAATAATTACATTAATTAGAAGAATTACAAGCATTTACTTTCTAACAAGAACAACGAAAACAAATATTGAAAATTAATTATTTTCAGTCAGTAATAAATTTGTTAAATATAATTAATTTAAAATATAATTTTCTGATTTTTAGTTTGCTCACGGGCTTAACTCTAGTTATTATATAAAAGAAATGTTTTATGTAGGGGCAGCTTTCATTTAAGTAATTAAAAAATAGTGCATATATAGTATTTCGGATAAGGAAATGTTTGAATGAGGTTAATAATTAATATAGTAATGTCATTCCATTGTAAATAACTTTGTAAATAAAGGTAGAATTAGATTCAGTTTTAATAATATAAATAAAGATAGATTTTGCCTAGTAAAATATGCTAGAGTAACAATACATCGAAGCTAATTATGTAATATTTCGAATTAGGTATTCATATCAGGTGTTTAATCGACGTTAAATATTCATTTCTAGGTTAAATTAATAAAGTTTAATTTTACAAATTTACAATAAATTTAAATAAATGGTTATTCAAAATTCAATTAGTTTGAAAATCATAGGTATAAAATTATAACAACTATCTTTTTACTTCAAAAAACTTATTTTCATATAAAATTGATAAAGCATACAATGGAATCAAACTATAAATTTTAGCCAAATTTGTAAGTGGAGAAGACATATCCAGTTTCACATCACCAAAAAGAAAATAATGAATATCAAGTAGAGGACCTTGTGGACTTGTGCAGTGCTACGTTCGCATCAAATGCTGCCGGAAAATACTTTTATTATTCACTTTTCAGTTCACGGGTCAAAAAAGCAATTCCCACTTATTAAAGGCGTTTTAGACCTAAGCCATTGAATTATTCTTGCTTCTCGTCACGAAATTTAAGTGGGAACCCTGAGAATCTATCACTTTCAGTTTACACTAACGTGCATTAGCGACACTCTTTATTGTCAAAGTGGTACTGTACTTCTGTGTTAGAGTAACTGTTTTGCAATGGCTTGTTAAAAACAAACACCAAGATTAGTAAATAGAGACAATTGGTGTAATATACTTAACGAAGATCCAAATTGGCCAAATATCCATGGTTGTGGATAATCCAAAAAGAAGTAACCTTTTGACACTGTGCGGACGAAAATACACTCTTACTTTATCGAAAACATGTAACTCTAGATTTAACGGATACACATTATGTTAACTGAACACTAAGAGATATTTATCAATTTTAACATGATATAAAAATTGTTAGTAAATTGACAAAATTTTAACATGCTACAAATTTTGTTATCGGGTTACGTCTATTTATTAATGTGTTAAATAAATCGCTAACAAACAGGTTAGCATGTTAACAATACTATTATCATAAAAATACATATATTAACCGCTAATCAATTATCTATCAAATAGCCGTAATCCTATTTGTAACAGCTAATACTCTATGTATCGGTTACAAATTCATTAAAATATAATAATAACGGGTAAATAATGAAATAGCTGCTAACTTACATATTATCCAAATAAAAGAATGTATATTTCAAGATTTGAAATTAGAAATAATAGAATTAGTGTGAGATAATAACATTAGCAATATGAGTGTCAAAAGAATCAGAGTAAAAAATAGAGATTTATGATGAAAAAATGAAAGCATAAATATGTCATGTGTGAAAGATAAAGAGATTAGAAGATAGGGAAGAGAAGAGAGAGAGAATGAGATAGAGATATAATGGTCAGACGAAATAGTTTCTATTTTGGAAGGGTAGAAGGCAAATATGAAGTGTATTTAGGGACAATACCACCAATTTCTGTAGTAAATATATAGCATCACACCATAACCATGTTTAGAGTACACGTTACAAGTTGTAACTTACAACCCAACCAATGTAAAATACTTTAGTAGCTGCGGGCTGATACAAGATTTTCTCACAGCCACTTCAGCTAAATATAACTCACAATTAAAACACCAAACTCCAAAAATAAAACAAAAACATAAAGACACACACACACACTAAAGTAAAAGATACTATTCTCCCCTCAATTAACGGAGAGTTTTCTTTTGTCTCGACCACTTCAATGTTTAGTTTCTCGAAACTCGCTTTAGACCCTGAAATTCTTCCCGACAAAGGTTTGACCAAACTGCCAGTTAGAAGGAACAATGTTCCATGAAGTAGAGGTTCTACGGTCACTGCCGGTGACACGGAAAGAAAGTGACTGACCAACCAAAACAGCGTTAGATTGCCAGTTCTGACCCCAGTTCCTGCTCAGACTCATCCAGCCAGTTCGTGAACCTTTCACGCTCGTCCTCACGATGTCTCCTGCTCCCGCAACGTTAGTGATCAGCACCAAGTTGAAGTATCGGTGACCGTTGATTGTGAACCTTATCCCTCCTCTCTTTCTGCAGGGCACCCTACAAAAGAAGACCAACAATTCACACTCTTTTACTTACTTGCAATGAATGTACGGAGTAGTTTGTGTATTAGAGAACACCTAATTAAACTAAAATTTCAATCGTTTAGTAAATGTTCTCAAACAAAAAAAAATTATAATAAAACACAACAAAAGATTATTTTTAGTAAGACCTTTCTCATTTGAACAAAAAAAAAAAAGAGTAAGACCTTTCTCAAAAAAAAAAAGAAGATTATTTCTAATTAAATTGAGTTTAAATTAATTTTAAAGAGGTCTTTAACTAATATATGCTAAACTATTAGGTTAAATATTTGATATGGTTCTATGTTGTTAATTATGTTCTTTTAATACAAGAATTTTTACCTGCGGTATGAGACAGGGACAATGCCAGCACGGTATTGAGCAATCTTGAGGAATACAGGCATGGCTAAATCGAAGTGTTCACGTGGCGGGTTGCACCATCCACCGTTATCGCTGGCCTGAGCAAAGTTTGGTGGGCAGAAGTTGGTTGCGGTAATAAGAATCGATGGGCTTCCTGAATGGCACCATTGTGGATCGTTGGCGCATTTTAGCTCAAAGCAGGCTCCACAACTCATACCGTTGTTAAAAAGCGCCGTGCTCAAAGCAGCCGTGTTGGTTCCATAGCCTTGGCTGTAAAGGTTACCGTAACCACAAGCTCCTCCTATAAAAATCAAAAAGATGAAAAACCATTTTGTTAAAAATGAACATTTCTTTTGGTGCATTTACTCTGTTTTTATGCTATGTTTTTTTTTTTTGTGGACTGACCCATTGTTCCTGAGGCGTCACTGCCGCCATAGAAAGTAGCGTGTGCGTTTTGCCACGCGCCACCGGAGTATACGCCGGGGATTCTTGCGTCGGCGAGGCTAAAGAGGACATAAGTAGTAAACAGAATTGCTAGTTTAATAGTAACCATTTTTGTTTGTGTTATTATTAGAGAAGGGGTTTGAAATTACTCTAAGAGTAAAGAAGAAGCTGAAGAAAGAACAAATGCGCTCTTGTTAAAGAAGAGTTAGGTTTTGTTAATTGATAGTGAGGACTGAGGAGCAAGAAGGAGTGAAGTTCGGTATTTATGGAGGGAGGGAAACACCAAAGTAAGAGTTAAAGAGAGAGATTGAGAACTATTATTGGCTATTTTTTATTTATTTTGGCAAAACTAAACTTTAAAAATTCGATAACGATTTCTATGTAAGGTGGAGGTAGGTTTGTAACCGTTTTGTCAAATTTTATACATATATTAAAATCTATTTAATATAGATAGTAATGGTACTCAAAAATATTAGTATCTCTATAATATTATTTGAGAAGTCACTTTCTTAGGTGTCGCGCTCACGTTAACTTTTACGCTGGTTGATTACTATGATACCCCTAATGAATTAAAAATACAATTAAATATTATTTCCTTTTTAAAAATTTCCAAATAACAATATAAAATAAAAAGGAAACATTTATAAAATTTACAAAACTATTTAAAAACGAAAATATAAGTATATATAATATGGTTTAATAAAAAAAGGAAAGTTCACAAAATAGTAATAATTAATTTAAATAACATAAAATATACCTTTGAAGTAATAAAATACTTTATATCTGTATCTTCTTAGATAAAAAAAAATATATGTATATAATGAGATTTCATAAAATAAATTTCACACAAAAAAATATTTCTATTAGAAAAAGAAATATTTTTTCCTTAAAAAATAATTTTAAACAATAAAATATATCTATTTTCAAAATAATTATTTTGTATATATCTATCTATTTTGTTAGATGATTACATAAAATAATCAACTAACATAAACTGATATATGTTTAACTGACATTTTTTTATAATTAGTATTATTGAAATTATTTTTTTAGTATATTTATTTGACTATAATATCTTACAATTATAGTAAAAATATAAATTCTATTTTACTTATATAGTATAATTTCTCAAAAACAATCACTTTTTACTGACTATTTTAAGAGATACTAAAAATAAAACTAAAAATAAATTTAATGATAAACATCTTTTGATCAAGTAACTACAATTATTTTAAAATATCATAACACTATATAATTTAACGAGGTAGATATATATTTATATTTTNAAAATAAAACTAAAAATAAATTTAATGATAAACATCTTTTGATCAAGTAACTACAATTATTTTAAAATATCATAACACTATATAATTTAACGAGGTAGATATATATTTATATTTTAATAGTTAAAATTATCTGTTCTAAGAATAAAGATTCTGATTTACTTAAGTATTTTGATTATGGTTATATTAAGTTTCACAAACATAAAAACATAAAATAACTACAATTATTTTAAAATACCATAACACTATATAATTTAACGAGGTAGATGTATTATATTTTAATAGTTAAAATTATTTGTTTTCTTAATAATCTTTTGATTTTTAATATTTTGTTTTTATGTTTGTGAAACTTAATATAACCATAGTCAAATACTTAAGCAAATCAGAATCCTTATTTTTAAAATTATTTAAAATAAATTTCAGTTTACCATCCAAACAATCTAAAGCATAAATTTATTTAGAATTTATAAAATATTTTAAAACTATTCTAAATATTGATATGTGTTCAAAATCTTCTAAAAATTCATTAGTTACTTATGTATGTAATTTTAGAATCAGAAACTTTAGTTTTTATTTTTTTTCCTTCTAAGCACAAAAAAATCTTAAGTTATATATAATCTTACTAAATATACTTATATTTCTAAGATAACAACCAGCATAAATGCAAATAAGACAATTAACAAAATTTTAATATTTAAAAATATAAAAGATAATTTTTGAATTCAGACAAATATATAGAATCCAATATATCTAAATGATAACTAAATCGACCGTAAAAACAATAAAATAGACTAAATATAACATATCTAAAATTATATATATAATTAAAGTAATATAATATTATAATATAAATTAGACATACAAACTATAAATTAATTTAAAAAATAAAGTAAATATCAATCAGTTATTATTGTATATTTATTTTATAAATATACATGCCCGTGCATGAGCACGGGAAAATCACCTAGTATCTCATTGTTTCGGCAAAATAATGAGTATCGAGTTTACTTTTGTGAGGCCTTTCATACTTATGATCGGGAAAATAAAAAATTCACTCAGTGGAAAAATTATAATAGGCTTAACTGTCATTAGTATAATCGGTCACAAATATATAACGTAATATATATTTATATATCTCTTTACTACTCTTTTACCATTGCCGCCAAAAAAATTCATTTGCAAAGAAAGTGTGAAACACAATTTTACTTTTATCAAATCGAGTTCAAGAGAAAGAAAAAACATGTGAACTTCGAGTTCAATGTGAAAACACCACATTGCCCGCATTCAACGGAGCATCATTTAGTTTTGCCTTTCGAAATTCGAGTTCATTTCATAAATAAATTACAGCCCTAAACTTTTAGTGATTAGCTTCCGTAGTTTAGCTAAATGAACTTTCACTGTTTCTTCATTTTGAATAAAGAACATGCACACTAACAAACTATCTTTTTTAATAAACATCATTTAATCTTTATGTATTGGCGCGTCACCATCATCGAAAATGCAACCTAATATTATCATACGTGACAATTTCGTGTTAATGTTAGGAACTAGATTTCGACCCGCACAACCGTGCGGGTATTTTAATATGAAAATATTTGAAAATATATAATAAAATTTATCAATAAATAAATATAATTTGATTATTTATGCTATCCAATTTATAATCATATTTATGTAACTTATAATATTATTAATATAAAATTTATAAATTTGTATTTTTGTAATAATTTAATTATTATGTAAGATTACTATTTATATATTTTGTTTTATTTCTAAATTTTAAATCTATGTAAAAAATTAATTTCAATTTTTTGTTTATAAATTAAAATGAATTAAAATTTTAATTATATTTTATGATATTAAGATTTTAATCAAATAATTTTTGAAACTATATCTTGAAAAAGACTCTAAAAGATTTTGTTAGAATTTTCTTAAAACTATTTATTTGTATTTCAAACAAAAAAATTAAAGATATGAAAAGATATTATAATGTTATGTAAAATTTTATAAAATTCTAAAGATGGTCCAAACTAAAATATCACACATGAAGTGAGTCATGATTTCCCTTTTAATATAATAGATGAATGAGCATGTTCGTTGGATAGTTGGATCCGAAAATCCGACCATAACCGATCTGAAAATATCTGACCCAAAAGCGCCAAACCATAATCGAAAAATTTACAAGTACTTTATTAAATTTAAAATTTACAAGTACTTTGTTAAATTTAAAAGTTCTCTACAAAAAAAAAAACAGAACGAAAAAAATCGATCTCAATAGATTCAGATCAAAAAAAAAATTGATCCAAAAAAATCCAACCTGATAAGTACTGATTGCTATCTGACATAAAAACATGGATATCCAAGATTATAATTTTGTGTGTGTTTTATTTTATATATTTTATTTTAGTTGTGATGACTTTTTATTTGTAATATTTATTATTATTTTGTAACATTTTCAAATAAAATAAAATTTTAAATGTCAAATTTAAAGTTTACAAATGTTCAGTTCAATTATTAATAGATTATTTTAGTTATTTTACAAAATTTTAGATAAATACAATAAATTTTAACTAAATTTTTATGAAATTCAGATATTTTGAATCTTTACCGATTTTTAAATATATAAACCTAAGATACAAATATTTGAACCCATTTCAGATATATTGATAATTTAATTTTTTTTAATTTTCAAATATCAGAACTAAATCTATCTGGATCCGGGAAGATCTAACTCAAATCCGACCCGAAATTTAGTATTACCGTAAGATCTGAACGCGATCCAAACTCGTTAAAAGAGATAATCTGAAAAGAGGTAAACAGTTAGGGGCGTTGACATGTTGTCAAGAGCGTTAATTTATGGCGATGACAATGCATATCTATGCACCAACCAAATCTTCTATATTTGCTACGTCACTACAAATTTCTCATATATGCCACGTCACACTAAATGACATTATTGTACCATTAAAAATACACATGCACAAGGGTAGAAGCTTAAGAAGCCTTTATCATGAGAATACAAATGCACTTGCATGTGAATTAAGTATCTACCACTCCTCTCTCCCAACAAATTCACGTCTTTACATTTATTTCGTTTCAGCATTTAAAACCCAAAAAACAAAACAATTTTTGAGTGTAAATGTAATATTGGTCTAAAATGCTCAACTATATCCTAGTCATCTCGCACACAACAATGTTTTTTGATTGAAAAAGTCACACCAAAATGATTTAAGAATTTAAATTTGCCGTGTTATAACATCAGTCAAGCTTCATTACAAAAGGTTTAACAAATTCAAATTAAATTATAATTATAAATTACTACATCCACATGTTTCTGTGTTTCTTCTTTAATTACTTTTATAAACAAGAAAAGTCAAAAATATTCAACCGTATGAGTATGTTGACTAGATAAGTTGTTGATTGTCCGTTGGGTACTATATTCAGTTTTTCACATTGGCAATGAAGTCTGCCAGCGATTTTAGAACGATCTGTGTGCCCTATAGTGTCGTGTGAGTATGAGTCGATCTCTAACCTAATTTGCAAAACATCATTTAATACATCATTTAATGTAATTTTAACACCAAAATCTATTCAATCCAATTATATATCACATCATTTCACTGCAGAAATACAACAGCACATCAAATTTGGTGTATTATCATCTGAGCCGTGAGAACATTTATTGTTACTTATTTCACAAAAAAAAACATTTATTGTTTGATCAAAAAAAAAAAATTATTGTTACTTGAAACCAATGATAAAAAATTATTAAAGCAAAACAATAACGCAAATTTTAAAAGAAAATAAATATATAATTTTTTTTAAAAATATAACAATATATAGCTATTTATTTTCAAATTAATATTAATTATTAAATTTATTTTAGATAAATTAAGTAATTAACTAACTCAATGTTTTTAGGCCATGATAAAAAATGTAATCCATTTTACATTTTAAAAATATTAAAAATGCATTTAAAACAATAACCACCAACCAATCTAATTACTCTAATTCTTTTATAATTAACAACTATCTATATTCTTGTTACATAGGAAACTATATATTCACTTTAGTTTCATGTTTTAAAGTCTAATTCTCAAAGTTCTTTAATTTTATAATT